TCGTTCGTTAAAGTTAAAGCGTGAATTTTTTTGTTTTCGATTKTTTTCGGCTGCTAAAACTTTTGTGGATTTTTTTTTTCACAATTTACGCGCCTCTTCGGTGTTCTCCCCGCTGAAAGGAAAGAAGTTTCGGCGTCTAAGCAATGGCAATGAGCGCATGAAATACTTTTAAAAAGCGAATATCCGAGATTTGAGGCCATCACTGGAATATATTGTATGTATATATGTCCGTGCAACTTATTCACAAGCATTTTAATAGAAAAAGTTTGTTAAAGATATTTTCGGTGCTACGCGTGAGTCGAAGAAWTTCCATCTACATTTTAATTTACTCGAAATGTTGCGTTTGTTTTTCTTWATTTATTTGTTTGCTATCTTACAAACCCAACTGTTGGACAACTGTTAGATTAGAAATAAAAATTAAATGAAAAACTTTCCAGCAATGCATGTAACAAATATTTTATCCGCCGATTAGTTGTAATTGCGGCGTAAATGATTTTTCGTAGCTTTGATTGGTAGAATTTCGTGTGGCAAATATAAAAATTTATACTGTTTTGTTGGTGGAAAACATTCCYCATATAATTTTGAGAACTGCTGCCGTACACATAATTTTTTGGCTGTATGATATTTCGGTTTCGTGCCTATTAGGTAGACCCGACTGCCGTAGGTATTGGTGCATAATTTTTTTTTTGTCGTGCTCAGATTTCTCTAAACCCAGCAATCAAAATTATTTTTTGAAAAAAAAAAAAAATTGAATAAACCACAGTGCATTCAAATTGTATGCCAATATTTGCATTATTTCTACCATTCTTTGCTTGGTACCTAGTAAGACACTTACCGCGGCCGTATCATTTGTCGAGGGGTCTCTTGAAATAGCATCGCAATGGCCGAGTTTAAAAAATTTTTTTCCAAAAATTTGAGAACTTCTTTGTTAATAGTGTATGTTTGCAACAATAGAAAATAATAAACCCATGTAAGCCCTTAAATATTTTACTCTTCATCTCAGTTGGCAGCACCGGTCTTAACTAGTTTTATGATTTGAAAACGCTTTACTTACCAATTGTTCACTTGCAGTATCGTTAGGCCGGTATCTTGCGCCAACTGTTTTTTCTGATCCTCGGAGGGGTAGGGATGCTGTAATATATAGTAAATTGCACAAAAAATCTTTTTTAAGTAAAGTTGTTAGAAAGTTATCTTTTTTTAAATTTTTCAACTAATAAAATATGTATTTATGACTGTTAACTGGCAACATTCATAAAAATAAATTTTTTCATAGGATTTGGCAAATATGATTTTATCATTTTTACAAAAAAAATAAAATTTGCTAAAAAATCAAAAAATCAGAAAAAATATTTCATGTAAATATTATAAATTAAATATTATCTTGAAATTTGGAATATGTTAATATTTTTTGAATTAAGTCTAATATTTTGTTATAAATAAGAGCTAATTCTAATTCTAAATCTTCATATTTCTAATTTTTAAGACGTCTTCAAACCGATGAAAGTTTTGAGAAAAGTTGTTGGAAGCTTTTTCAAAGAGAAGATAAGAAATAATATGAGAAAAATCAAAATGATGCTTATATGTGTCCACATATGTATGTACATATATCCCACTTGCATATTTATTTATAATTTTTATTATATACATATATCCTTCATCTCTTGCAAAGCAATCACTTATTTGTAATTCTGAGAATTAATGAACACATTTTGCTTATGCGGCCAAAATTTCCAAGCAATCCAGAAGTAAATTTATCTAAAACATTACGAATTATTTAGAAATGTATTCCACAAGTAATTTTTACTAAAATATTACGAAGTATTTGGAGAATTAACTCTCAGCAGCCAATATGGTGATGAAAACTGCACTTCAGCATGTAAAATTTAGTCTAGTGCGACGCAAAATTGAACTAAACACAACAATTATATGTTATATGTATTTTTCTTTTTTTTCTTTTTGTTCTCGGAGGGGGAATATTTAAAAATATGTATATATATGTATTTCAAAAAACCCCCTCACTTGTAAGCACCTCGATAAAAAAGTGTGTTCTACTCTTAACTAAGGATTTTTTTGACAGCTTCTAACTTATCTAAACAACGTCAATGCAGCGCCACACTTAATAAACTGGATGCCACAAAACGGTAACACTACCCATACAAACGAAAACACCTACATACATGTGGTGGTAAGTGCGTGCATGTGTAATAAAACCGATTAGCAGCAGAACAGATCAATCAAATGTACGCTATATCCAACTGTCAGCACCTTTATGCGCAACTGACATTTTAATAAGCGCACAAAAACTCTGGCGCACGCACACACATACAAACATACTTGTATATATGCACAAACGCACACACTCTTACGCATGCAGTTGGGTATTCCTGCTAATAAAATAAACAGAAAAGTTCAGTTGGTCACAAAGTTAGTCAAACACTTCAATATATTGTATGTTTTGTTGTTGTTGWAAGTTGTAAGCTAAACGCCAAACAAGTCTATGTGGTTATTTGCAATTAAACTCCAGCGCCGGAGCATCCACTTGAACATGTCCTAAATAAGCGGTGGCAGGCAGCGCCTAAATGCAGTTTCAAGCAACAAATGCAACATTTAGTTGTTGTTTTTTATTGTTATATATTTTTTTTTATTTTTTTATTTTTATTTTTTTTTTGTTTTTGGTAAAAGGCCTCCATCAACGGCAAGCGCTCGGCCCAATGCACGCCCTCATAAATCTTGGCGACCAGTAGCCGCCASAGTGGCGTCAGTGAGTAAACAAAGTGCTGGAAATTGGGGAAAAATGCACTAAAATTAGGCGCAACAGGCAACAACAACTGAAGCCTATCATAGTCAAATGCAAACAATTTTTTTTTTGTAGTTTTTGTGCTTTTTTTTTTTTGTTAAAAAATATATGAAAGTGAAATCAAACGAAAGTCAAAAGGAAAGTAAGCAGACAAGGCAAATGTTAGCAAACAATTGTGTGTGCACGCATATGTATGTGTGTATGTGAACAATTGCTGCATTGTTATCAAAACAACATACATACATATGTACATATAAATATATATTTATTTTTGTTTCATATGCATATGTATGTGTGTATAGATGTATGTATGTATGTATATATACTTGCACCCACACTTCACATATTGAAAAATTAAGCCTCGTAGCTACTTAAGTGCACACACACTTCCAGCTACAACCAGTAGCTGGCGCTTTAACTGTTTATTACAATTATTTAACGTTAGTTTTGATAATTTTTTATGCTTTTCGGTTGCAAGCCAAAATAAATATTTACTTTGATTTTATGACAATTTAACTGATAAATTAATGGAAAATATTTATCAGCCGAAATTAACTACAAATATATATAAAATCATGTATGTGTATGTGTCGCATACGACTTGGCCACTTTCTTATATTTCATATAGCTTTTATCTATTTATTGTTATGAAGTGTCTATGCAACGCAGCGTGTCTACTGCAATACTTATCTCCGCGCCTCGAAATGCATATGATATGCCTCGTTTGTGTGTCTGTGTGTGTGTGTGTGTGTGTGTGTGTGTGTGTGTGTGTGCGATTACATGTTGCCTTTACAGTGTCCAATTTGATGATTATATTTAGAAGTAAACAAACAATTAATGTTGTCATTCGATACTGATAATGATGGCATATTTATTACCATGATACGACTACTTTTGGGCTTTGTCTCTGTTTGGGTATGTGCGTGTAGAAATGGTGGCGCCACAAAACCTGTTGCCTGCGCCAGACTACTTCTGTGTGTATGTGCACTGCATGAGCGTTGGAAGAGCAATGATTTTGTTGTTAGATTTTGGTGTTAGTTGAAATTGACAAAAAATTAGAAATGGAAATTTATTASTGGCGTTTTTTATACGAGAAGATCATTGAAGGGAAATAGAAGTATTAATAATAATAATGTAATTGCTAGTAAGTTTAGTAAGAATAGAAGCAGAAAAACGTTAATTTAGTTTGCAGCAAAGCTGGAATACCTTTCACAAATGTAGTTTTCATATCAGAACTTGATTTTGTTTGATCAGTTTATATGATAGCTATATGCTATAGCAATCCGATTTGAACAAAAATCTTCGGAGATTGTACTGTTGTCTTGAAAAATAATCTGTGGGGAATTTCATAAAGATAACTTGAATAAAAAAAAAAAAAATCCATAAAAGGTCTTTAGTTTCATTAATCAGTTTGTATGACAGCCATGTGCTATTGTGGTCCGATCGGGCCTCTTTGCTCAAAAATTGGACCACTGACTTGGGTAAAAATCCATGCTTAATTTTGTGAATATATCTCATCAGAGGAAACAGTTTCCATACAAGAACTTGATGTTGATGGTCCGGTTTGTATGGCAACTATATGCTATATCAATCCGATTTGAACCAAAATGTTTGGATATTATACTGTTGTCTTGAAAAATAATCAGTGCGGAATGTCATAAATATAACTTGCCGAATAAAAAACATTTCCATACAAGAACTAAATTTTGATCAATCATCTCGTATGGCAGCTATATGCTATAGTGATCCAATCTAAACAATTTCTTCAGAGATTGTACGGTGTTTTTAGGCAACGATCTTTTACAAATTTCATGAAGATATCTTATTAAATAAAAAAGATTTCCTTACAAGGATTTGATTTTGGCCGATCGGTTTGTATGGTAGCTATATGCCACAGTAGTCCGATATTGGTAATTTTTGGGGAGAAAGGGACTGTTTTGAAGAAAACTGTGTGTTCCAAATTTCAGATTGATGTCTCAAAAAGTGAGGACCCAATTCGGGTATAAACAGACAAGTGGATATGGCTATCATAAATCGACTCTGCTCGCCACTCTAAACACTTATATATATGAACAGGGTATAATAAGCAATATTAGTGTCAATAGTTTATAGAAATGTATAATGTGAAAATTGTTTTTTCAGAAACGATGTTTAGGTTAAGTTTTCTAGATCAGTTTCTGTGTGCCTCCAAAAAAAAATGTTTACTATAAAAGCCATCATCCATTTATAACTTATTTGCTCGCTAGCTAGCTAGCTGCCATCTTGTCATACATAGGAATATGCATGTAAAAGCAACATTTAACTAAGTGAATATCAGCACAGGGTGCCCCAGCTGGTACTGTCAATATGTTGAAACGACTGGTAAAGACTGTGCGATTCGCCATTTTGTAATGCATGTCGAATCTAAAACAGTTTCTATGTTAAAATTATTGAGTTTCTAATGATAAACCAACTTCTGTTGCCAATATCGGCGCTATGAACTGGACTTAGTCTCCACAAAAATCGTAGAGATTTTGGAGTAGTATTTTAAACCAGCTGTTTGCTTCGATTATATAGACCGAATTTGTAAATATACACATGTAATAACATATAAATACAAATGTATATAGTTGTATTTGTGCAACATATGCACTACTATTTTCTTGCATAAGCATTCATTGTTTGTCTGAACAAATTATGCCGTGGGCGGAAACCTTTGTTCTTTTCTCTCCGCAAGCAATGCATTAAAACATATATATACATATWTTTTCGAAAYTCCAAAAACAAAGTTCACGAATAAACAAAAACACACATGAGACTAAGAAGTGCACCTTTCCGTTTTGATTATTGCATCAATCTTTACCCCACCAAATTAAGCATACTCACATACGTATGTATACCCAACCAACAAATCATATGTATATATGTGTATAACGATTCATAGTCTGTTGTGATTCCCGTTTCACATTTTCTTATATTATTCATTTGTTCATCACTCACGCGCTTTTGTATGCCGTACACCTTTACCGCGTCCTGCTTTTATTTCGACTTTTTTAATCGCACTCCTTTCATTTGRTGCCTTTGTTTGCCTATTTTCATGAAAATCCTCTTTTTTACACCACACAACCAGCCGCTGCGCATATCCTTTCYATGCAATTGTGTTCCAACAGCGGCCATTGTTTCGCTTCGCTTGCAACGCACGATATTATAATATTCAGTGGCTCACACATACGCATGCATTTAAATTTAATATTGAATTTCGTGTTCGCATTCATTGGTGTTTTAAATAAAAAAAGTTCATTTCAAAAAAAAAAAAGAAAAAATTTTGGACTATGTTGTAAGGGCTAAAGGGTTT